TTATTTTACCTATTTCTCATGAATCTAAATTATAATTTGGGGAGTTTTGGACTATATTAATGGAGAGTGAAATTTGAGGATTTGAGAGGCGATTTTTGGTTGCAATTTGATAATTTTTGTATGGTTGGACTCGTAATTGAATGTGTGTTCAGAATTTATAAATTTTGTCGAGTTCTGAGGTACGGGCCCAGGTTGACTTTTTTGTGTTGACTTTTTTATTTGAGTTAAAAACCCCAGCCTTATCTTTTGGAATCACTTCCTATGGCTTTTATTGATAGTATTACGTTATTTTGGCTAAATTTAGGCCTTTCAGATGTTGATACGCACGGGAAGAGCTTGTTAGCGGAGTGATTTGGTTTGCTTGAGGTAAGTATGTTATCTAAACTTGGTTGGGGCACTAGTTGTCTGGATTATTTATGTTAGCTACGTGCTATGGGTGCACACATGTGTGGGGTTTTGAGCCCATGTGCTAACACCGGGGGTATTTATCCACGCCCAGGTTGTGCTTATTCTATGATATGCCTAGAATTAACTGTTAAGCTTTAAGCTATGATGTTTCTCACATTTGTAACATTGTTGTGAACTATTTGAGCAATGTTTGAGGCTACATAGAGGTTTAATACATGAATGAACTTGATAAATGTTATGCTATGATGAAATTTCCTATTCGAGCTATGATAGCACACTTGGCACCTGCCTACACTTAGCATGTCATTTTATCAATCCAGGAGCATGAGATTTGTTAATTATTCATCGCATACATGTTTTCTTGTTATTTTCTCCTGTGTGATATGATTGGACTAGGTACTTATGATCACACCGGACGAATTATGTTGTTATGCCTATGACCATGTCGGGCAGCTTGTGTTGTTATGCCTGTGACCACACCAGACAAATTGTATTGTTATGCATGTGACCACGCCTAGCGGGTTGTACTATTATGCCTGTGATCATACCGGGCGGATTATGATATTGAACCTATGACCATGCCGAGCTGGTAGCAAGTTGAATTAGCCATGCTTGTGTGTGGATATGGATCCATCCACTTGGGTCACTGTAACGACTTGACTGGTCGTTTTGGTTTCTAGAACCCCATTCCCCTAAATGAGGATCCCTGTATGTAATTTTACTGTTTTATGACTTACGGGAATGGTTAGTGCGGGATTTGGAAGGGGTCAGATTGAAATCGGAACACTTGGTTTCTTAGTTTGGCTTTAAGAGGCTAAATTTGACTTTGGTCAATATTTTGAGTAAACGATCTCGGAATCAGGATTTGACGGTCCCAATAGGTTCTTATGATGATTTTGACTAGGGCGTATATTTAGATCGGGTTTTGGATGACCCGGGAGCGTTTTGGCGCTTAATAGTGAAAGTTGGCACATTAAAGATTTTAGAGTTCTTTAAATTTGGTTTGAAATAGGATTTGGTGTTATCGAGGTCCGTTTGAGATTCTAAGTCTGGGAATAGTTCCATACGGTAATTTAAGACTTGCACGCAAAATTTGGCATCATTCCGAGTAGTTTAAGTATGTTTCAGCGCGTTCGGAGTAAGTTGGAAAAACTTAAAGTTCATAAGTTGATTTAATTTGGTTTGGGGTGTGATTCTTAGTTTTGATATTGTTTTACGCGTTCTGAGTGTTCAAGCGAGTTCTTTTTATGATTTCAAACTTGTTGGTATATTTGGGCGGGGCCCCGAGGGCCTCGGGTGTTAATCGGATTAGGCTCGGACCAAGTTTGGACTTAGGAGCAATAACTAAAGCACTAGGTTTCTGGTGCAATCGCACCTGCGGGGCTATGGACGTAGGTGCGAGCTCGCAGAAGCGAGCCAGCAACCGCAGAAGCGAGCCAGCAACCGCAGAAACGGCCCAGAGTAGTCAGCCCAAAAATCGCAGATGCGGACAAGGTGGGCGCAGATGTGTGACCGTAGAAGCGATCAAATACCTAAAGATTTGTAGTTTTAGTTTCCCTTATATTTTTAGATGTGTGTTTGTTACTTTGGAGGACCAAAATAAATATTTGGGATTCATATAGCTGACTCCAACTAACTAATTTGAATATGAAATATTGTAATAGTAGTTGTTGTGTGCATGTTTCTTCTTTTTTCGAGACCATGAGCAGAGGCGGAGCTAGCCCTTCTATTGCGACCAAACACACTCATGCAAGTATATGTGGTCGTCAAGTAATAGAGTAATGAGTAGAGTATCGTTCCCACAAAGACTTATGATTAACTTTTGATTAATTCAAACTCAAATAACTTATCGATTCAAGTGATTTCTCACAAAATAGATAATTTCCTAATTTACTACCAAAAAACTATCAAGTAATGAAATACTAGAAATCAACCACAACACTTAAACAATTTCGAATAACAATCAATAGGAGATAATATTCCAGGGTCACGGGTTAGCTAACAATCATGTTGCGTTCTTAGCTTAAAATGACTAATTGATTTAACTGGATTGTTGATTGACAAGGTTGATATTACTCATAAGAATCTGTCGAGTTCTTACTCGCCTACTCAAGCTAACTTAATGCCTATATGTCTATGGAATTAAGATTAACAAGAATGCATTTACACTTCCTGTATTTCAACCAAGCAAGGCAATTAGGTATATTTCTATCCTAACCGCGAATTCGTTCCCCGATGCCCGGGTTCAAGAACCTGCTCTATTTAATTCTATATGCAATCTAGAATTCCCACTTTCGAGTTCAACTCTAGATTCGTAGATGGTATTTTACTGTTAGCTACTCAGCAAAATAATTAAAAATAGAATTAAAAAATAACCCAATATGATAAAATCAACTTCGTCAAATTAAACTTCAAATATCAACATTCATGTATCACCCATGACCCTAGAACAATAGGGTTCTTAGCCACTTATGTTCATACAATCATCAAAAATAAGGTTTTCAAACATAAAATCAATGAGTACTAGGAAAGAGATGGAAGAATTGATCCAATCCGTGCTCCCGAGTGTTTGGCACTTTTGTTCTCCTCTCAAAGTCACCTTCTCCCCCTTCAAAATGAGTTTAGGTTGACTTTTATATGAGTTGGGATAGTGTAAAGCCGAAATAACCTTGTTTCAGGCAAAATAGGAAAAAGTCTCCGCCCACAGCGTCGGCGCAAAAAGCCGTGACGATTTTACCGTTTCACGAATTCCACTCTAGTTCCTTATTCACTTCAAATTGCATTTCCCCTTTTTATTGTGGGGAACAAAACCTAAAGGGTGTCCCCCTTTGTCTCCTTGTTTTTGTTTTTTTGTTTTATTTAATTTTGCTCCAAATCTCTTTATCTTCACATTGTTTTATTTCTACACAATTAAAATATAATATTAAGTATAAAATAATATAATTAATACTCAAAAGACGATTAAAAGTACTAGAATATGAGGCAACAATGAGTAAATATATGTACTTTTGATCGAACATCACCTTCGGCCGAACTCTTTAGCTTTTGTGCAAACTCTTTATTTGTCTTATAAATATGTACAAACTATTATTTTAGAATCCAAGAAAAGAACTAAAATTCGAAGATTCCTTCTATATGAAGGTTCCTTTATCAACTCCTTGCATGCGTAACTCCATTTGATTTTTCAGAACTCGGATGTGAGTTTTATCTATATATTTTCTTATTCCACATATTTTATCCCGCATAAAATAACACATAATTTTTTCGCATAACTTAAGTGTGGTTTGATACCACCAAACGAATTTTGCATCAAATAACGCGCACATTATTTTTCTTATGTGACCAACGTAACGTTGTATCATTTTATGTTGAGATTGGTTATACCATACATTAAGTCGTTACGCGCGCGCGCACATATATATATATATATATATATATATATATCTTTTCTTTATTTATCTTTTATTTTCAATATGAAGGAGTGCAGTCAATTGGAGTATGCTATGTGAGAAATGACAATAATATACCATCACCTCAAGATGTCATAAATCTTTTGAAATACCTTCTGTATCTTTTGAAATGCCTTCATTATGCAGGAGTGCATTCAAGTAGTTCTACAAGGTTAAAAAAGTAGTTTTTCCTTAGAAACATTTTTGAAACTTAGCCAAACACAATTTGATGCTCTAATATTGAAAAAGGTATGGGTACTCTTCAAATTACCTAACCAAATATAAATTATTTTTTTAAAAGTACTTTATCAAAATTTGATTCTAGTACTTTTCAAAAGAAGTAAATTTTAAAAGCTTGCATTACACAAACTATTTGTTTAGTTTGTTTCCTAACCATACAGGCCAGAAAGCAGTCCTGACACAATAACTGAGAAACAATCAAAATTATTCATTAACGTCAAATTCATTGACCCTAAACCAAATCTATACTCAATTTCCAAAAGGAAAACAAAAGGCAAAAGCGAGCTAAGAATAACTTCAAGAACTTTACCGTGAAACTCCCTAAAAAGATTGGTGATGAATAATGTGGAATAATAATTGTTTTAATTAATAAAGTATTTGGCTTATCCTTTTTGTATATGAATTGATGTAATATATTTAATTTTCATACAAATTGGAGAACCAAAAACCAAGCATACAACATGCATATTGCTATCCATAAAGTATAATGATACTATCCTTTAGGCCATATGCATTTGGCAGCGAGTACGATAGCAATCCAAAACGAATTAGAATTTTACATTTATGTGTAGTTAAAATCGAATAAGAAGTTTATCCGTGGATAATATTTTGAAAATTACAAGTACTTGGTTCATTAACAAATATTTTAAATTTTAAGGGCATAAAAGTCTATTAATACTATTGGGATATTTTTGTCATGTAAATTATTCATGTTTTTATAATAATATAGAAGATAGATAGATATAGATAAGGATTATAAGCTAGCTGAAAATAAAGAGGAAAACTGGACTATGGAGTATATAATTATTTAAAGGATTATTTCTATCATTTCTATCTAGGTATGATTCCCTTCGTCACTGATTAATTATTTTAACTACTTTAAAGGTTAACTGATAGAGATCATAATTAAACTATACTTGCTTTCATTCAAACAAAATAATGCCTAGAGACTAAGTAATAAATTAAAACCTCAAATTTTCACTTTTTTATTTTTTAATCTATAACAATCAAATCCATACCTATTATGCAAAACAGATTTTTTGTTGAATCTAAAAGTGCAATCCGACCTTCAAATCCTGTCCGCCTCTGAGTTCTTCACGCAGCTCTTTCAGAAGTTCTTCCCGCAACTCTTTGAGAAGCTCATTCCGCACTTCTTGCGACACCTTTTCTTGCATCTGTTGCAGCCGATCGTGCACTTTTTGCGGCACCTTTTTCAGCGCTTCTTCCACTAGTCTTTCCTTTTTCTCTGAACTTCTTCTCATGTAATAGACAAGTGCGCTACCTGCCATCTAAAATGAGAAAAAAAAATAGTAGTATCACAAATAAATAGAAATTCCATCAAAAATTAAGTACTATAGAGAAACAACGCCAATTAATTTAAATTAATACCGTCGAGAAAACGAGAGTTTGAGCGACTTCATCTACAACTTTCTTCTCGTCTTTTTGGGTTCTCTGAATTTCAAAAAGTGATTAAACCATTAATAGTCGATTTGCTGACTAAAACCAATTTTAAAAAGTATAATTTTGAGAATTACTTTTCAACTTCATATATAAAAGAAAACTTGTTTACCTGAGCATTTTGGACAATGAATTGTTGGAATTTGGGATTCATGTCAGCACCTTTTCTCAAGCCAGAAGCTACAGGCCTTGCTATACTCCTCACCGCAAGGCGACCATAAATATAAACTGGTATAATAATGAAAAGAAGAGTACAAGAAATTATAATAATATAAGATGAGTGCAAAAGCAAGAATGATTGTAAAATATTGCTGCTCATTTTTTTTGAGGTGAAAAGGCTTTGAACATATTAAACATAGGGCAGAAAGCTTTTATTATTGGGATGAAAACGTAAGTGAAAACCCTTTTTGACTAAAAGCTATGTTACTTGAACTCTTCAAAAATGACGTCTGGTGTATTCTTCAAGGATCCGGCACAGGGTGCGGCAACATTTTTGGAGTCCAAACAACATAGACTAAAAGCAGTATCGTGACTCATTCTCACCCTTTAAAACCCTATTGGTACTTAAAATCACAGAACCATCTCCCCTTTAAATTCTCTGCGGATCTCCATTGGACCACCAATAACAACAACAAACCCAGTGTAATCCCATAAATGGGGTTTGGGGACGTATGCAGACCCTTACCTAATAAAGATAGAGAGGTTGTTTCCGATAGACCCTCGGCTCAGGGTATATCGGAATCACATATACGTTAGACGATATGTGTCAATGATCTTTCTAATGCATAGTAGGAATTTACTAGTCTAACATCTTCTCCCCAGTGGCCTGCTCTCCAAAGTCACACCAGACTTGGGGTTTAATTAGGACAATATCAATGTTCTGTAAATTGGGGGATTAATTAGGACACTGTCACTGCCCAGTAAATTACATTAAGAGGTAAGTAAAGCTAGTCGGATTCCTAGTCAAAGATGCAGTTAGCTGGCTTTTAGCTGGACCAGTGATTCATGAACTGACCACACCATAACTTTCTTTACTTATAACCGTGGTATCTAAACCAATTCGCGGACACCACGACTATTCTATCGAACACTTGTTATTTTCTACCAATACATGTACCGAGCCACGCCATAACATAAAGTCATAAACTTTAAGAATAAACGATAATCAGACAAAGTCATAAACTTTTAAATAAGAACTAATAGCAGGCGAGTATCACATCGCATTCGGGTCACATTCATGCAAGATTTTGCAGCAATTATAACAAGAAGTCATAAGCTTTTAAGAATAAATTATACTAATCAGATAATGAAATTAGAACACCAAAATGACTCACTTAATTCAAACAGCGGCATGTTGTTGATTGCCAATAGCTTTTAGTCTCAAATCACAATCTCTCTTACAACTAGAACGTATATATATAAGATAAAAGAAAGCCAAACCAAAATAGGTTTGGATAATTTTAGGACTCTAGTTTTAAAACCCAAGTCTATGGGTCAATCAGTCAATTAACAAATGGATGGAGTAATTATTAATTTTCTTGTTTTTTCTTCGTTACTGAAAACAAAATTTTTTACTCTTTCCTTTTCCTTTCCAATTTATGTCTTATATTAGTTTAAACGTTTTAAAAGAATATCCTAGTTTTGCTCTTTTTAAAAAAAAATCTGTAATTCTAATATTTTAAGAAAAGGAAGTATACCCCGGAAAAATTGCGGTCGGAAAGGTAAAGCCGTTGGGTTTAGAATACCAATTGCATTAGCAAATGTTGTTATTGTAAGCAGAGGCGGCTCAATAACATTCTCATATTTTTCTTTTTGAAGTTCATTTTTTGAGATGCAAAGTTGATAATTATTTTTTATGATCAATTAAAGAAAAGACCTGAAAATGATGAATATTGGTCATATTTAATAAGTAGCTAATCAATAAGGAAGAAATCTTGCCCTTTAGAAGTCCGCATATGCCTTATTATGATTCCTTAGTTTGGGAATATCTTATGACAATTATTATTATTTGTGTGACTTAATACTGAAAATAAATATTGAGTTATTTTTTAAACCAAATAACTTTATATATAGAAAAAATAGAACATGTCATTTGTTGGAATAATGCAAAAATAAAATAAAATCAATAAAATTTATTTATTATATCTTTGTCTTCTACTGTTTCATCCTTTTTTTTTTGATAAGGTAAATTGTATTAATCAAAAGGGAGAAAAAACTCCCGTATACAAGAAGTATACCAAAAAGTAGAGAATTTACATCAAAACATGATTCTCTACAAAAGACGCCCATTCTTCTAAACAAATAGGGGCTATATGAGTGCACCAAAAAGCGATCAAAGATAAAAAAACTATTTTTAAGATGTGAAAAAGGAGACTCAATCCCATCAAAAGCTCTCCTATTTCTCTCCCCCCCAAACTATCCACATGAAAGCTCTCCTATTTCTATTGTTTCATCTTTATTACTTTAAGTTTGTACTTTTACCAATTTAACTCTTAATAAAGTATATAATCGATTTTGCTCAATTTTTAAAATTATTTTACCATCATGCTCTTCTTTTGGAAATAAATTTATGTATCCTAGGAATTTTGTCAACCTAAAAAAACAATTCTACTTCTGTGATGAATTTGAAAAAGAATTAAATTGGATTTTTAAGTAGTTAGTTGATTCAAAGACTTAACTATTTACTCTCAATATTAAGGAAAATAATTTTTGATGATGCAAATTCTTAATATTAGCTAATTTCAAGTTTTAAACATATAACTGTAACTAAAATAATATTTAAGTGTAACTATATTTTTAAAAGAAGAATTTTATGCTTAAAGGATAGAAAAAAACCGATCTAACATTTCACGAAGAATTTTTGTTAATCTTAAAGTCCTAAATAATAGAAAGGTAATTAAGTAACAAAATTTATGTAAAATATATATTTAAAAGTTTAACCAACCAATTATTCATAATAATTAATTCTAAAATTTAAACCCATAAATATTTTCAACCTTCTTTTTTTGGTGAACAAGATAATTATATATAAATACCAAAAATAGTTACAGCATTAGGTCTAACATCTTCTCCCCAGTGGCCTGCCCTCCAAATTCACACCAGACTTGGGGTTTAATTAGGACAGTGTCAATGTTCTGTAAATTAGGGGATTAATTAGGACACTGTCACTAAGAGGTAAGTAAAGCTAGTCGGATTCTTAATCAGAGATACAGTTAGCTGGCTTGGACCAGTGATTCATGAACTGGCGCTGGCCACACCATAACTTTCTTTCCTTATAACCATGGTATCCGAACCAATTCGCGGACACCACGACTATTTTATCGAACACGTGCTACTTTCCACCAACACATGTACCGAGCCACGCCATAACATAAAGTCATAAACTTTAAGAGTAAACGATAATCACACGAAGTCATGAACTTTTAAATATCGAATTAATATATCAGCCGAGCATCACATTGCATTCGGGCCACAAATTCATGCAAGATGTTGCATCAGTATCAAGAAGTTATAAGCATAAATTATACTAATCACATAATGAAATTAGAACACCAAAAAGACTTACTTAATTCAAACAGCGGCATGTTGTTGATTGTCAATATACTTCTTCCAGAGATTGAATAACCTATGACACTTGTGTAAAGGCCAGAGCTTTCAGTTTCAAACCGCAAACCTAGAATGTATCAATAGGTAAATAGGGGGAGTATATATAGATATAGATAGCCAAACCAAAGCAGGAGTGGATAATTTTAGGACTCTTCGGTCAGGGGCCCATTAATTAAAACCCAAGGCTATGGGTCAATTAATAAATAGATGGAGTTATTAATTGTATTGTGATTGTGATTCTTCTTTCTTCTTTGTTTCCGAAAACAAAAATTTATACCTTTCCTTTTCCTTTCCAATTTATGTGTTAAATTTTTTTAAAAGAATATCCTAGATTTTTATTTTTTTTTAAATGTAATTCTGATTCTAATATTTTAAGAAAAAGAAGTACACCCCGGAAAAATCGCCGGTCGGAAAGGTAAAGCCGTTGGGTTCAGAGATGGGGGTGACAGAAAAGGACTTACCTGGGAAATCGATCGCCGATTTGAGTCTGATGCAGACGTCGTCGTCGCTGGTTCGACGTTACGGCGGGCGGCGGAATTTCGGAGAAATCAATGTTGGAATGCACTGGATGGTTCTTGGTCGTGTTGTGATACTATGAATTTTCTTTTTAAGGATGTCCTAATTAATGTTACATAACGATGTCGTTTCCTCTGAAACTTGAAAAAAGAAGTCCATTTTTCAACATTTCTTTTTTTCTTTTATATGTATATATATATATATATATATATATATATATATATATATATATACACACCCACTATCGTTGTACATCAAGTTACTGCTGTGTTCGTCCCACACAAAATACTGAAGGTTGCTAAGGAATTAATGAAGAAATTATAGTGTATGTTGAGTTACTCTGTATTTTGCTATTGAAATTGATTGACAATCCAAGTTTGCGCCTTTATTTCAGTTTGTAATTATTTGTACACCTTTGTTCCTGGCTTCTTGTTCTACTAATTTCTCTGTGTCTCGCTCCTTCTCTGTTAAGTCTATGGCGATTCTGACCTTTCAATAGAGGTTATAATTAAACGGTAAGAACCTATGCATCGAAGGCTCCTCTTATTCTGCTTAACTCTAGGTTATCCACTGAAACCTAGCTCAAACTCTGCAAGCTCATTTATTTGCTCTTAAATATTTTTCTTTGTCATAAGAAAACTATTATTGTTAGTTATATCAACTACTGCTTTCTGTTAATTGCACAAAGAAAAATATTAACATAAAATTTGATTATATCCTAAAGCGATTGTGAAGTTTCTAATTGCTTTCTTTGTTGCAGGTGACGGCCTAAGTTATGGGTTTATGGATCACTGGCTTCTCTTGCCATCTCAAAGCCTCATCTGCCCAACACCACTTAGATCATAACACTCTTTCCATTCATGTAAAATATTCTTATAATGGATTCTGATAAAATTTGTAATCACAAAATATTTTAAAAGTTAAAATTGTGTGTCCGCAGTCTAGCTTAAAATTGTATTTTTATTCTTTTTGATGAGTAAATAATTTTATTAGAAAGAAAAAGCACCAAAAGAATAGGTGTAAATAATAACAAAACCCCACACGTAACACAATATTCATGAACCCCACATGATCAGTCTTGAACTAGGCCCTTTTATTGGTTAAATGTTTCCAATATTACAAATCATATAGCCATGAATGATACCTATTGTTTGTATTAAGTACATCGCCATAGGAATTGATCAATTTATGACAAGCTAACTTTAGTTTTCATGTCAAGAATCGCGCTGATCTTGCCAGCTTAGGTAGAATATTTGGTTGGAGTCGGCTGTCTACATCACACCCTTTGCTGTGAACGCGGGATGCTTTGTGCACCGTGCCGCCCTATAGATTTATAAATTACGAACAACTAAAGTGGAAAATAGTTCAAGTAAATCGGATAATGTGACCTTATTCATCTTGTTGTTGCCAAATTCTGGCCATGGACATGTCTTATATAAACATGCTTTCTAGTTCTCTATTCTAACATTCAGACCCAAATTCTGGCCATGGACATGTCTTATATAAACATGCTTTCTAGTTCTCTATTCTAACATTCAGACCCAAATTCTGGCCATGGACATGTCTTATATAAACATGCTTTCTAGTTCTCTATTCTAACATTCAGACCCAAATTCTGGCCATGGCCATGGACATGTCTTATAACTGTCATTTTCAGGAAGCTGCTAGGAGCAGAAGAGGAAAAGCAAAGCATTCCCAGTGGAGGAACTATGATGATTTAAATGAATACTTTTGGTAGTCAACCTTTCCATTTTTCTGTTTTTTTTTCTGGTTCAGTTAATCAATATTTTGTTCATTTCTGACTTTACGCATAAAACTGTAGGTCAGCGGACTGCTTCAGGTTAGGTTGGCCCATGCGCGCTGATGCTGATTTCTTTTGCCTCCCTGTGGAAGAACTTCGTGCTGAGAGAAATGGGGTAAGGTTTTAGCTGCAGAAGTCATCTTAATAACACCATGTTATGTGCATTTGACTGTTTCCCAGCATTGTCAATTTATTTAGCATTTCATGCTTCCATCCCTTTGAAATGTTATTTAGCATTTGATGCTCCGCAAAAAGTTACTTCCTCCAGTGAAATGGAAATTAACTGACACAAATATGTTTTTATTGCACACAGCTATTGTGAATGGTAAAAAGTTTTACCAAGAAGTTGTTTGTTTATGTGGATGTGTATTTTTTTTTGTGAGCAGTGCTCCAGATTTATGTTGCGGCGCTATTTTGACATGATAACCTACATTAACATTGTTGCAGCCACTCTTTATGTGATTCTTAATTGGAAAGCTAGGCACAGCATGTCATTCTATGTTAAACTACGATACATATTGAAGGTCATAGCTGCAGCTGCTTGGGTGGTCATTTTACCTGTTACATATGCTTATACATGGGAAATACCTCCTTCATTTGCCCAAACCATTAAATATTGGTTTGGTAACAACTCAAATTCTCCTAAAATACCTCCTTCATTTGCCCAAACCATTAAATATTGGTTTGGTAACAACTCAAATTCTCCTAAAATACCTCCTTCATTTGCCCAAACCATTAAATATTGGTTTGGTAACAACTCAAATTCTCCTAAAATACCTCCTTCATTTGCCCAAACCATTAAATATTGGTTTGGTAACAACTCAAATTCTCCTTCACTGTTTATACTGGCTGTGGTAGTCTACTTGTCTGCCCAATATGCTCGCTGCTCTGCTCTTTCTTTTTCCCTTCGTTCATCGATTCCTAGAGAGATCACACTACAAAATTGTGATGCTGATGATGTGGTGGTCACAGGTATATGTTTTTTTGACTCATTTGTACATTTATAAGTGTGAGAAGGCACGGGAGAAAATATGTTATTGATATTGGATGATAAATACAATACAAGAGGTCCCTATTTATAGCTATACACTACAAGGAGATATTACTCCTCTTCCAATGTGGGACAAAACTACACTATACATATCGATAAACTAACACTCCCCCTCAAGCCGGTGCATACACATCATATGTACCGAGCTTGTTACACATGTAACTAATACGAGAACCAGTAAGATACTTAGTGAAAATATCTGCTAGTTGATCATTCGACTTTACAAACTTTGTAACAATATCTCCTGAAAGTATTTTTTCTCTGACAAAGTGACAGTCGATCTCAATGTGTTTAGTCCTCTCATGGAACACCGGATTTGACGCAATATGAAGAGCTGCTTGGTTATCACACACTAGTTCCATCTTGCTGATTTCTCCGAACTTTAACTCCTTGAGCAACTGCTTGACCCAAACTAACTCACACGTCGCCATAGCCATGGCCCGATATTCAGCTTCGGCGCTAGATCGAGCAACTACATTCTGTTTCTTGCTCTTCCACGAGACCAAATTACCTCCTACTAGAACACAATATCCAGACGTAGAACGTCTATCAAAAGGTGATCCTGCCCAATCAGCATCTGTGTACCCAACAATCTGCTCGTGGCCTCGATCCTCGAATAGTAATCCTTTGCCTGGAGCTGACTTTATATACCGAAGAATGCGAACAACTGCATCCCAGTGACTATCACAGGGAGAATCCATAAACTGACTTACAACACTCACCGGAAAAGAAATGTCAGGTCTAGTCACTGTGAGGTAATTCAATTTGCCAACCAACCTCCTATATCTCGTAGGGTCTCTAAGAGGCTCCCCCTGTCCAGGCAGAAGCTTAGCATTCGGATCCATAGGAGAGTCAATAGGTCTGCAACCCATCATTCCAGTCTCCTCAAGAATGTCTAAGGTATCCTTCCGCTGTGAAATAACAATACCTGAGCTAGACTGAGCGACCTCAATACCTAGAAAATACTTCAATCTGCCCAGATCCTTAGTCTGGAAGTGCTGAAAGAGATGTTCCTTCAGATTAGTAATACCATCCTGATCATTACCAGTAATAACAATATCATCAACATAAACCACTAGATAAATACACAGATTAGGAGCAGAATGCCGATAAAAACACAGAATGATCAGCCTCACTATGAGTCATGCCGAACTCCTGAATAGTTGTGCTGAACTTACCAAACCAAGCTCGAGGGGATTGTTTCAAACCATATAGTGACTTGCGCAATCTGCACACACAACCATTAAACTCCCCCCGAGCAACAAAACTAGGTGGTTGCTCCATATAAACTTCTTCCTCAAGATCAACACGATCTACAACAATAGCATCTCCCACTGGTGTGGACACATACACAGGAACACTCAAAGAATCACGGGGCACAACCAAATAGGAAACAAAATAGGATGACACATAGGAGTAAGTAGACCCCGGATCAAATAGAACTGAAGCATCTCTACTGCAAACTGAAACAGTACCTGTGATAACAGCGTTAGATAACTCAGCCTCAGGCCTAGCTGGGAAAGCATAACACCGGGGCTGGGCCCCACCACCCTGAACTACGTCCCTGGGACGGCCTCTAGCTGGCTGGTCTCCACCTCTAACGGCCTGACCTCCACCTCTAACTGCCTGGCCTCTACCTTTGGCTGCTTGACCCCTGCCTCTGGCTGGCTGAGCAGGTGGTGCAATAACTCGTGCCAGAACCATGGCATAAGAACTCTGATGCTGTGAGCTACACATTGCCCGANCGGCAAAATCTAGCAATGTGCCTCGAATCACCATAAGTATAACATAACCTCGGCTGCTGTGACTGCCGACCCTGAAACTGACCCTGTTGACCTGAATAACCACCGTGATAACTCTGGAGTGGAGGTTCACTAATAGGAGCTGGTGGTGCACTGTAGGCTAGCTGGTCGGAATAATGCATCTAAGGGCCACGACCACCTGAGGCACTGTGGGATGCTTGGAGCGCTGAATGAAACGGCCTGGGAGGATGGCCTCTACCAAAAGTACTCCTACCTCTAGGTGAGGCACCGCTGAACTCAACGAAATGACGAGGTCTCTTGTCAGACCCCTGACCTCCCTGAGTAAGAACCATCTCTTGTCAGACCCCTGACCTCCCTGAAAAGAAATCTCACTCCCAGTCTCCTTAGCCATCTGCAATCTGATAGGCTGAGCAAGTCCATCAATAAACCTCCTCACCCTCTCTCTCTGTGAGAAGCAGAAGTATGGCATGACGGGCCAAATCCACAAAACGGGTTTCATACTGAGTAACAGTCATGCTGCCCTGCTGGAGACGCTCAAACTGACGGCGACGCTCCTCCCTCAATGTGATAGGCAGAAACTTCTCTATGAAGAGCTGAGAGAACTGGTCCCAAGTAAGAGC